TCCCCCACCCTCAAGCCACCTACAAAGACGACAAGATGAGCTCCTCGACCATGAACGGCGACGTCTACGTGCGTCCCCCTCCCCCCTCCTTTCCCTCGCTCGGGCCGCTCGAGGACGGATCGCTGACTGCTCGAGACCGCTGCACGCAGTCCGAGATCGTCACCGACCACAATCAAGTCAAGGACCTGTACCAGCGCTACAGGCAGAGCACGTCGAAGGACGAGAAGGCGACGCTCGTCAACACGAGTTGCGCTCGCTCCCCCTCTCTCGTCGGCGTCGTCTCGGCGACGGGCTCTGACCTTACTTGCTCGTCGTCGCACAGTCATCCGCGAGCTCGCCGTGCACTCAGAGGCTGAGGAGGTGCGTCGTATCTCTCCCTACGAGCTCGTCGAGAACCTTTTCCTGACGCCCTCGCTCGCAGGTCTCGGTCTACAACGAGCTCGAGAAGCGCGGCCTCGCCTCCGAGTCCAAGCTGCTCCGCGACGAGCACGAGGAGCTCGAGAAGCAGCTCTACAGCGTCGACTGGACCAAGATGCGCCCTCCTCTCTCGTCGCTGTCGTTCGCTCGGACCCTCTCTGACGCACTCTCTCTCTCGCAGGTCGACTCGGACGAGTTCGCGCCCAAGTTCGAGAAGGCGATCCGCATGTTCATCCAGCACTCGGACCGCGAGGAGGACGAGATCCTGCGCGACCTGTCGGCCAAGCTCTCGCCCGAGGACAACGACCGCCTCGCCAAGGACTTCCTCGCCGTGCGTCCGCCCCTTCCTCCTCCTCGCGCACGACAAAAGACTCTGTCACTGACTCTTCGTGTGACCCGTCGAGCAGAAGCGCAAGGTCGTCCCGACGCGCCCTCACCCCGCCGCGCCGCAGTCGGGCGGCGTCCTCCAGAAGACGCTCGGGGATGGCGACCAAGCCGCACGACAAGATCCTCGAGACGCTCACCGGCCGCTCGTTCGCCGACCTCAAGTACCAACACGGCCAGTCGGGCGTCAAGCCCATCAAGATCGACCAGTCGCTCCTGTCGTGAGCGGGGAGTCGGGGCCGGAGCGTCCTCGAGCGCACTGGGCCTTTTTCGCTTTCCCTCTCCCTCTCCCTCTCTGTGTACAGAGCCTCCTCTTCTGCAGCTTGACGACGACGACGTGCAATCGAACGAGAAGTCCGCAGTTACAGTGCCGCTCGACCCTCGAGAGCAACCGAGTGTTCGAGAGGGAAAGCGAGAGAAGGCTCGCGAACGAGCCGCGCTCCTGCGAGGCGCACTCGGCTCGGGCGCAGTCTGCAGGGCTAACTAGTACGTCGAGGGACCGTTCTCGGCGCTCATAGTGCCACGCAGCGCTGTCGACTTTCTTAAGTTGCCGCTCGTGCTCCCTCGGGCTCTCTCGCTCTCGGGACGGCCCTCTCTCGACTCTGCGCGCTCTCGAACGTGCTAGGAAGGGCGTCGAGAGTCTGAACGACTTGCAGTCTCTAGTCTTCGCCGAGGCGAGAACGACGGGAAGAGAGCGAGCGGCTCGTGCGCGCCGTTCTCGGGGAAGGTTGCACCGGGCCCGCACGACTCAGTACCGCTCGCCGCGGTACAAGAGGCGCATGCGGTGCGTCATCGGCACGCTGTCACGCGTGCGCACGCCGAGACTCGCCGCCGCCGTTACGCGCCGCCGGAGCTCGTCATCCTGCGCGAGAGGTCGAGGAGAGGGTCAGAGGCGCGCACGGTGAGTGCCGACGAGAAAGACGGGCGGAGGGGAGGAAGGGGAGACGCACAAAGACATCGAGCATGACGTTGCTGAGGCTCACCTTGGCGGCGGATATGCTGCCAATGTGCACGCGGGCTGCGGGCGGACGAAAGTCAGCTTGACGGGATCTTGGAGGCGTAGGTCGACAAGGGAGTGACTCACTGTGTGCGCCTGCGTTGTGGGCGACAAGGAGAGAGTCAGAAAGGGACTAGGAGGGAGGAACGGGCTCGAGAGCGGCGAGGGGCAGGCTCACACCTGGCGCACAGCTCCTCGGTCGTGTACCCACGAGCCCGTACCGCGAGCAAGGTCTTGTACAGAGTCTTCTGCGAGCTCGATGAAGGGGGTGAGCGCTTGTGCAGGTCGGACGAGCCGAGGAGCGAGAGCGCACGAGGCGGTCGAGCTGGTGCGACAGCCGCCCGTACTCCACGCTCGCGCTTGGGTACTGCTTGCGCTCATCGTACACTGTATTGCAGAGGTCGGTATGAGTGGTGCGCATCCAGGCCGGGTCTGGCGAGGTGCTGGCGAGGTCGGGACGCACGCAGGATGTCTGCGCGAGGACGGAGAGCGTCAGTCGTGGGCCAGCTGGGAGGAAAGGGACAGAACTGAGACGCACACTGTTCGACAGTGTTATTCTCGGCTGCTTCCCTGAAGAGCGCTTCCATTTTGCCGAGAGCGAGCAAGGCGAGAGGACGGGAGCAAAGACGGAAAAGCGAGGGTGAAGCAGGAGGCCGTCGCTCGTCCGGGTCCGCGGAGCACAATCGAGCTTGGGCTTGGCCGGCGAGCTCAGGAGAGCCCGAACGCGGAAAAGGACCAGCGCGGGCGACAGAACGACAGTCCGTGCGAGTTCTCCTGAGCGGCGACGTCCTCGCGACCAGGAGCGGCGGCGACAGCGGTAAGCGAGCCGAATACAGGTCGCACTGCTCGCTCGAGTCGCGACTGCGACTGCGCACGCCATCGAGCAGATCGATGCTGTTGAGAGAGGCTGGCGAGCGTGCGAGAAAGGCGAGGGAGGAGGAGGAGGAGGAGAAGGAGGAGAGGGAGAGCAGGGCGGACTTGGCCTGGGCGTGTGAGCGAGCGGCGCAGCGTGCGCAGGCGCTAAGCGTGGCCGAGGGTTTAGCGTCGTGCAGAGGGCAAGCGAGGTGGTCGCAGCCGACGACGCGGGACGAGAGCAGCCCACCTCCTCCTCCTCCTCCCCCTCTCCTCCTGCTCGCCTCTTGACCAGCTAGAGAGCCCATTCGAGTGCACAGCAACCCCCAGCGACCACCAGCTACACGCCCTCGACCGCGCCCACCTCGCACGAACAAGCTCGTCGCCGTTCGTCATCTCCCCCGCACCCTCACCCTCGCCCTCGTCGCCCGCTCGCAACACAGCCTCGACTCGCCGCGCACCATGCTCCCCAACCGCCAGAAGGTCGACATCAGCGTGCGTCCACTCTGTCCCATCCCCTCTGTC